AAGAAGAAGAAGAAGAAGAAGAAGAAGAAGAAGAAGAAGAAGAAGAAAAGAAGAAAGGTTTGGACATTAGGTTACTTATGGCTTCCCAGACAGCCACAGGAGGGCCATAGACTTGGATCTTCTTGCCGGTATCAGAAGACCAAGCAGGGAGCCTTGGAATTACTGAGCTGATCTGTATCAAGAGACCCTCAATCACACTGCAGCAGCTTTGTGTATTGCTTCTGGGCCTACACGTTTTCAACTCTACATATACCTGTCATGTTTGTGGTTTGAAAGATCCCTTTGATCTATCCTCACATCACAGTTTCTCTGGAAAATGAGGAAAGATATCTCCATATGGTCTGTGTGGTATTTGAAGAAAGGCTGAGTGAAGTTTGTGAGATATGAACAAATGGTTCACGCTGCTCCAGGAAGTCTCCTCATGGTCTCACCACCTCCAAGGCACCCTGGCTAAGATGCCTTTCCCCTGGGGCACTTGGTTTGGGGGAGTTCGAAAGGAGCATACCTGGTTCTTAATCTGATTCGAAGGTTGGTGTGATGGTGTGTTAGTGACATGCTTTGAGTACAGAAATGTGTCTAAGAATATAGTATTGTAGGACAGTCACAGCTCGGAGTTCTGGGCTTGAGGCACAAGCCCTCGCTGTGGGGCTGGAGAAAAGGCTCAGCAGTTAAGAGTACTTATTGCTCTCTCCAGGTTTCATTCCTAGCATCCACCTTAGGTGGCTCACAACTTCCTGCAACTCGAATGTCAGGGGCTCCCATGCCCTTTGGCCTCTGCTGGTACCTGCAAGCAAGTGCTGCACATAAACCCGCACAGACACACACATGCACATAAAAATAGACAAATCATTAAAAAAAGAAGGCCTTGCTAGCGGTGCAGATAAGCCCATATGCACTCATGCATCTGCACATACACATACACACACCCATAAAGATAAATAATCTTTGATGGGAGGGAACGAGGGAGGAGGCTATAGTTGGGATACAATGTGAATAAACTGTAATTAATTGAATTAAGTAAATTAATTAAAATAAAAACCAAAAAAATAAATAAATCTTTGAAAAACGAAATCCTGTTATGAAGTTTTGTGCAAGAACACTCATGTGAGAGTGCAGGGGGCCTGTTGGACATAGCAGGGAAGGAACAGTCTAGCCCTAGATGGTCTTCTGTTGAATGTCAGCTCCAAGGGCAGGGACTTTGGCCTGTTTTGTGCATGGGCTAATTTTTTTAGTGCTTAGCACAGAATATATAAGTAATGGATGAATGAATGAGTGATGGATGGTTGAACCAAAGGAAGAGCCGATGGCAGATTCCATCAAAGACTAGGAGGCCAAAGAGACAGGGTTGGGCTGAGAAAAAAAAGGTCATACAAAGGCTGGTGATGTTTGGTAAGGGTAGTTAACCTATAGGAGAATGAGCCAGACTTTTGAGGCCTTGTGTCTGGTGCTCCAAGGGACACAAGGAAACCCAAACCCAACCAACCCAGCCCCGTAGGAATGAGCAATAACAGGTGGCAATAGCCTAAGGATCAGTGAAGGCCCCAAACAGTGATGCTCAAGGGGCCGAGGACATACCTGAAAGCTGGTGGGTACATCCTCAGGGTCTCCTTAATCACCACGTCCAGATAGGGCAGGCCTTCCTGCAGGCTGCGGTACTCCGGAGCTGGCTGAGGCAGGGAGCACACAAAACAAGGCTGTGTTAGAAGGACTCTCACCACTCTTGATCTTTGTCATGAGCCCTTATTCCAACCTAAGCAAACATTTCTGTAAAAGTCCCACTAGATGAAAAGGAGATTCCATCTCCTTTTGGTAGCCCCCAGGATGTTCTGCCTGTTTCATTTCTTGGTGTCTTACATTATTGAAGATGAACAAGTGCAGCCTGGGACTTGGGGGTCTGTGGGTGTCACATGGAGAGATCTGGCCTGATGGTTTGTGTTGTTAGCTTGACAGAGGGAGAGTCACTGGGAGATGGGCTTGTAGTGTGTTATCTTGCTGGGGTTAACTGAGGGGAGAAGACCCACGCACTGTGGGTGACACCATTCCCTGGGCTATGTAATGAGGACAGCAAGCTGAGTGCTGGCATGCACGAGTTCATTGCTCTCTTCTGACCGGGAACATGTGACCAGCTGCTCTACTTCCCAATGCCTTGACTTTTGCATCATGATGGGCCATAACTTGGAACTGTGAGCTAAAATAAACCATCTTCCTTGAAGGTCTGTCAGTATTTTTATCACAGCAGCAGGAAGAGCAACCAAGGCAGGCTCTATGATTATAGTGATGGTGTCATTTACTGGGAGCCGATGGCATGGCTAAGCATGGCAAACCCACACTCTTGTTTAATCCTCTTAGCAAACCAAGGTGGCAGCTCTGCCCCCACCCCTTCAGTGAGGAAGTGGAGGCTCTGAGAGGCTGTCACCTGGGCAGTAATTGGTATGGCAGTAATGCTAAGAGACACAGAGAAGTAGCAAAGAATAAACGCTTGCACCAGTTAGCAAGGATGAAGAGTTGACAAAATCCCCCACAGCTATTCTATACCAGCAAGAAGAGACAGCTCTGATGAAAAGCTGTCAACGGGTATGAAAAGGCAAAACCCAAGAGGAAGAATATAAGCCACAATGGAAAAAAATGCAAAACAGTAATACTCTGTTTTACATACATCAGGTTAGAAGTTGGAAAAGACTGGTAAATTTTGGGAGTGCAGTTGCCGGGGTTTCCAACAGTTGGTGACTCAAGGGGAAGGACAGATTGGTGTGTGTAGTCAGCGTGTGGGTACCGTGGGTGGGGCAGGAGGCACTCCCATCCTGCTGCCGCACACCCTGTGGGGGTGGGGATTTTCCTGCCTGGCAGATGTTACCTGCTCATCTCTGATATGCTCCCACAGGCTCATGCCTGGAATGCTTGTTTTTCCAGATGGTAGCATTATTTAGAGTACTCAGGAGCCTTTAAGGGGTGGGGATCCTGTCACCACAGTGACAGACTCAACTCTCCTAAACTGTGAGTCAAAGTAACCTTTTCTTGTCCTAACTGTTGTTTGTGTCGGGCATTTTGTCATAGCAACGGAGAAAAGAAACTAATACAATGGGTGGCAGCCTCATTGCTTTCAATTAGTTAATGCCACTCCTCATGAATCCCTAATCTGGGGAAGGGCTTTCTTCTGTGGCCCCCTCCTCTGCCAAGTAGCAAGAGGCAACCCGGCAGTCCATCCTGCAGCTGTCACTCGCCACAGACCAGCCCCGGGTGGCTTTATTCTGCCTGCAGGAAAGAGGCCCACAATCAGGAGACCACTGGCCACTCTGCCAGGTGGGGCTTTGCTAGTCCCCCAGTGAGCATCCTGGGGCAGCTGCAGGGTTACTGGGAAACTGCTATAAATGCAGAAAAGGTAGTGGTGGGACAGGAAGCAGGGTCAGGACACCTAGAGCCTTGAAGTCTATAATAAATACTCTAGCTGATCTATGATGGTTCGGCCACTCAATAAAGCAGAGCTGTTAACGATTGCCGCAAATGAATGTAGTTGAATCCCTGTCTGTGAATGCTCATGAGTTTAGAAGGCAAGGGAGACAATTATGCTTTGTAATATAAAATGTCAACTATCGCTCGGTTTTCCCGGTGCTTTCCCTCCTCTACCCGGGGAACCGTTTCTGTCTGAGGCTCTTACCTGGCTTCCCACTTCCTTCCTAGGCCCTGTGTGTGTCTCTGCTGCTCTGTGACTTCTCTTGAGACTGCTAAGAACTTCACTATTGGATCTGTGCTCTCCAGTGGAGTGGGAAAGCACTGGGCCTGGATGGTCACTTCTTGAGCCCCTGGGCTGCCTCCCGTGGAGGAGTTCTCAGTTACCTTCTCTGTCCTGACCCCTGGACACAGACACAAGAGAAAGGCTGTGAACGGGGCTCACATATGTTACAGTATCTTGGGGTGACCATGGTGGCCATCTTAGTTTCAAGCTGGAAGAGCGTGGGATTAGGCAAAGGGTGCAGAGTTTAAGACTCCTGGAAGTAATGGTCTGCTGTGGGGACTATGGGAAAGGAAGACACCTGGGCTGACTCCACAGACTATTCCCGTCCCTACCCACCAGCCAGGGTGGGACTAGGGTTCAGGATACCTGTGAAGGTCTGGACTCCCTCAGCCCAGCGCAGGTTTAGGGTCTGGGGATACTTTCTCCTCTGCTTTCCATCTCCAGGAGTCTGATTTGTGTTTGTGCTCTCTGGCTATCGTGTTCATAAAACATGAATTGTGCAGTTTCTGTGGTTCTGCATGTGACTTCGGAAACTGGCTTTGCATGGTATAAAAATGGGTGGACATTTTCAAGTAAATAATTGAAAATGTAAATATTGTTTTAATTTACTAAGGATGACACCAAGTAGAAATGAAACAGCACCCTGACAAATCATACAGGAGACCATGGAGGAAAGGAAGATGTGCTATACCAGAACGGTCTACACTTCCTCCTACCTTCTGAATAAAGAGACTCATGTTTGCATTTTGCTTTAGGCCTCACAAATTGTATAGTCAGCTCTGCAAGATGTGGCCAGTTAGTCCAAGGGGACCAGTGCAGAAATCTGAATCGGGGAAAAAAAAAAAAAAAAAAAAAAAAAAAGGAGTCAGAGGTTGAGCATGAGCTGTTGGTGGCCACCTTCTGCTTCACGGGTTAGTGAGTACAAAACACCAATTGGTTCCAAGAAAGAAAGAAATTAGATGTAAAAAGAGAAGCAGAGGCAAAGGACAGAGATAATTTCCTGGTGCCTCATAGAGTTCTTGTTCCTGTCTGCTATCTGTTCCAGGCAGGTTTAAACTACTTGTGAACAGAGTTTTGGATCCTGCTATCTGTAACCATAAGGGTCCCAACAAATGCAAAAATGTAAAAAGAAAGAAAAAAGAAAGCAGAGGAAGAAGAAAGGAAATAAAGGAAGGAGGGAGGGAGAAACGTGGTGACTACACCACAGCATAGAACTCTCTCTTCCTTCTCCATATCTATTTATATCTCTATCTATCTATCTATCTATCTATCTATCTATCTATCTATCTATCCATCCATCCATCTATCCATCTATCTATCATCTATCTATCCATCTATCTATCATCTATCTATCTATTTATCTATCTATCTATCTATCTATCTATCTATCTATCTATCTATCTATCTATGTATCTATCTAATTAGATCTAGAAGCTGCAGCTGCATCTCTGATGGGTAAATAGTGCTGTCTCCCAACTAAACTTGTGTAATTATAAACTGTCTAAATCTGGCAAAACATGAGAAGCTCACATGGGCTAGTTGACACCTTCAGTAGAAAGTCAGCACCTTCATTCACTCTTTCTCTGCAAGGGCTCTTCACTGCCCCTCAGCTTTGACTCAAGTGCACCTAAGAGCATCTCCTTGATCCAGTGTTCTGAATATGTAGGTACTTGGGCCTATTCTGTCAGGACTTGATGGACTGAGTGGGGGCTTTCTCGAGTGCCCACAAGGTAAGGAGAAACACACCCTTCATTTATATTAAGTCCAGGCAAGCCAACAAAGTTTCAGGCTCTGTCTGGAAGAGCAATAGATTCATCCCTATTTGACCCAGGGATCTTGGGGACACAAAGGGCCTGAGCTGAGGCTACCAGCAGAGGGCAGCAAGTGTATGGTAAATGGGGACTCCTCCGGTCCTGAAAGGGACCTTAGAAATCCTCGTATCTGACTTCATGATAGAGAGGAGAAAAAATGAGACCCAGAGGAAACCTGTCAGCCCAGAGCGTGTTCTGGGCATTTCTTTATTCAGCACTCTCGCAGTGAACACCTGAGACAGCTGCTGGGCTTGTGCAGAGATCCAGAGCGACAAGGGCTCTGGTTCTTCCTTTGGGGAACCGCGTTGCTAACAGATGGTGACCCTGGTGTTGTAGCAGAGAGACGCAGGAGGAGCGGAGTTTCTCATTCGCCCCTTCACCCAGGGCTGTGAGCCCTGTGCCAGGCACAAGGGACGCACAAACACACACCAGCCCATCATCTTCCCAGCATTCCTGTCCACTGGGGTCTAAGCAAGTGGATAAGTGTGAGATGGGAGAACAGAGAAGGGGCACACATCACTGACAGCCGCCAGGAGGGAGTCACGTCCACACTGACCTTCATAAAGAAAGGTGTGTGGACGGTGCTTCAAACTAGGGTGGAACAAATATTATATCTCAGTCAGGGGGCTTTGAACCCAATGGGATAGTTGTTTTTAAAGAGTTATGGCTCATCTTGCTTTTAGTGCGATGATGGAATTGTGGTCATGTTTTAGAAGTAAGACAGAATACACTGGCTGTGTTAGAGAAATGTATACATATATTTGTATCTAGTAAGTCTTCCATAACAAAAAAAATCAAATACTAAGTGAAATTTTAAGTAATACAGCAGTGAGTGGGACTGACTGTGCAGAAATCCTGAGCTAGGTATAAGGAATTAAAATGGTTCTGCTAGGCTTAACAAGCGGGGCTCATGTAGCACCCCGGGTTGAGCCCTGGTGATGGCAGTGTGCTGTGCACAGGAGAGAGAAGATCACTTTTGGGTGATCTTGTGTTCCAAGAGAAGATGCCCAAGAGCACCAGGTTGCTGCTGGGTGAGAGGATGTGGTTTTTGGGGGGCACCTAGAAACTCGCAAACACAAAATGCTGATGCTGATGGAATTTATTTGAAAAGGGTGGGAAGCCT